GACTCTTCAGATCAATTCCATTGACGGATGATTGCTGATGGCACTGATCGGTATCAAACTAGACGAGAGACAGGCGGAACGAAAGACCCGCATAATGTGGTGGTGAGCGCGTTAACACTCGGAAAGGGTAATAGCACGTCCGCTCCCCACCACAGACACCTGCGTTGCGGAGTTTTCCAGACATCTCAGCGTCATTGTGGCTGTACTATCTCAAGCCAGTAGTGTTGGGGTTTTCCTTACTCGCCTCCACTACAAGCTCTCATGTTGGTCAGTCATGCCGAGGTCAAGAGAGAAGTCGGTTTCCGAAATATTGTGAAGTTGTATAATTTGATTGAAATTTGTTTCCTGCATCATCGAAACAAAAACATAAGCCAGCTGACGTTTGGTGATTTCGCCATTTTCAGAGCCTGGAAGGGTCAAAAATTTACCCAGCCAAACACTTCCATAACCCTAGAAGATAAGACTTAGCACATAAATTTTCATTCGCATAATAAACAGCGTCTTTTAAACACCCACTGTTTTATTCGTTGTAAGTCTTTCCGTAACTGGTATGAGCAGCTGCACTATAATAATATACGTAATACGTAATAAAAATAACAATAATAATAATACGTAAATACGTACAATATGGGCCAGAAATGTGCTTAGATAAGGTCACAGAATGAGCCTGAGGCACGGCGCTGGGTTACGTGTGATCGAAAGACACTTCTCTTCGCGGTTCAATTTTGGAATTCCGTGATTTTATCCAAAAGCCATAAAGAGTTTTGCAAGCTCATATTTTTGTGCGGATAGTAACTTTTAGCTCAAAGTCTTCTCCGTTATGATTTTGTGTTCTATGTCTTTTTTGGGTGCGTGTGGAGCAGTGGCCGGAGGCGCCTGGAACACACACGTGGAATCGGTCTCCGTGTCCATGGCCCAGTAAGCCTTCTATCTCTCCGAGGTCGGCAAATTAGCATCAGACTTGTTTGCGAGGATAGCAGCACTGGTTCGATACATCGGTAGGCCACCGTTAGTCATTGTAAAGGCCAAATATGAATTCAATCACCTCCAAACGATGCTTATTGAAGTCGAATGCGTGGCGCAGCCCTCAGAGATTGTTGAACGCCGAGAGTTTTTGAGCTTTATGTCTTTTTCGTGTCCTGTATCCTTTTTTTGTTTTTGCGAGCTTAGTGGAGGGTTTAATTTCAATTTAAATTTGCTGTCTAGGTGAAGGTGATCTTTCATATGGATGCAGAATGGTTTATCAGTTTCCACCAACGTATTCGTGCCTACACGCTTTGCAAGAGATGAGGTACACTATACCCGGACTCATGCAATCACTGTCTCTACCGTTAGGGCAAATTATGAAGTTTTTCGTTGTACACAGGTGGTCATGTAGGCGGTTACGAACTAGCTGGCATCTCAGTGTGTCCGCTGGCAATTCTATCACTTTTACGAAATTCTCTAGACCAGCCCTTCTTAAGCAACGTTATAGCTGCACTTATTTCGCTGGAAATGAAGAGCAAGATGAACGAAGCCTTGTTCTCGCTGGAATTATCGTTGTGGAAAGTAGTTTTCCCTCTATATCTACGCCGAGAAGCTGCAGTTTCGTATTCGTAGCCATTCGAAATGGCTATTTGACCAGCCAAATCCAAGGATCCTTCCTTCTGCTCTCTTCTTGTGTACACACTGGTGGTTGTTCGAAACATATTTCCCAAAACCGTTCTTTTGGTGTGCTCATTAAAAAACAGTGGGTTATTGATCAACGTCGAAGTTAGTAGAAAATCGGTCCTGGCAATTGCCATTTTGACTTGATATTGTTCTTTCTTAAAATTTTTTAGAGTATGGTGGTTGTTTCTCTAAAACTAGAAATTGAAAATATAGGAACCTTGAATACGTCGATTATGTGAACGTTTGAAAGTTTCACAAATCCACGAAAATAAGTTCGATTCCGTTATCGGCTAGTAAATCAGTGTTTTATCTACTACGTCGTCCTCGAACGGTGGATCGACTTCCCTGCTGCCAGAGGAGTTGTTGTTTCCTCTTCGAAAACGATGTCTTCGGTTTCGCAAATAGCTGTATTACCTGCTATCCATAATTGCCTGTGATGACGATCAGAGGGCGCCCTCGCATGGCTGTCCTGGCTGTCCAAGTAAAACTGCGCTCGAATAGCACTGAGTATGCCAGTAAGAAGAGAAAATGACACATCCCGAATTCACAAGAAAGCTCATATAGGAATTCGATGATCTCTATAGACGATGTAAAATGTGCTGGCATTCCCAAACCAAATCTAAAGAATCTAGGTATGCGGTAAGCAAGTTAATCAGTATCGATTCAGGACTTTTGTGTTGTAGCGTAATTTTGGCCGGAACCTGTAGTTGTTATCCAACGCCATCTAAATTAGAAATAAGGGGAATAGTGCAATTTGAACACTGTGTGCGTCATTGCAATCAACTCCATCAGTTATCGTAGATATGATTGAATGGATATTTTGTCCAACGATGACTTGAGTGACTCTGTCAATGTTTCAGGTTAGGTGTTTTTTATCCTCCCCGCTGCCGAACACTCAGGTGTGAATGGCTTAACTCTCTCTCTCTCTCTCTCTCTCTCTCTCTCTCTCTCTCTACTATTACTACTATTGCTACTACTACTACTACTGCTCTTTTACAGTAGCGTCACTTTTTTTTCGCTCTCATGTAATCTCTCTGTAAAGACTCTTCGTTCTCAGTTTTCCTTACGGAATTTGAATTTTTCCGTTTACCTCAACTAATGGACCACAATAAACTAGAAAAATTGCATGATTATAAAGGGAGAATTAAAGTGATGAAAAACCCTTAACTGAGGCCCTGATCGACTGCATATCAAGGCGAAACGTCAAGACGCATACCAGAATTACGATATCAGGGTTCATCCCAACTATAGTTTTTCCGTAGCAATACTTTAATATTTTGTAGTTTGTAATATTTCAGCTTTTTTAGAGACCATTTTTTAGTCGAATTTATACTGAAAATACAAGAAAGCAGTGTTTAATGCTTTAAGATTAGCACTGGTCATCAAATGACTGCCTGCATTGCTAACGAGCTGACGGATAGGCAGACCGTTAGTATAAATTTTCATACTCGCATTGTTTTAACTATTCGACTACATAGTTACTCAATCCCACAAAAAGGGTTTTCATCTAAACTTGGATCATGACATTCTGGTCAACAATCAAAGTCGTCCTTTTCTGTAAGAACGACACCTACTCAACGTGATGAGATGTCCTCAAGTGAAGCTGAGATATTTGTAGCGTATTACAATTACTACTGTTTTGTTAGATAACAAAAGCAACAACCATGCACTATATACTCTAGCACTTCCAATCTATTTCCGCGCTGGGCCATTACGATATAGACGGACACAATGCAAAACGCTTAGCAGCGAGTGGTTTCGATCCACCGACCTCTGGGTTATGGGCCCAGCACGCTTCCACTGCGCCACGCTGCTGCGTGTGCAGGGCAGCGAATTGTAGCCCATGTACCACTGTTGTCAATGCTTTCATGTTATTTGCACTTTCTGTTTCGTCACATAAATTTGAGCCTTATTGGAACTTGAAAACAATCTTTGATACTTTATTGAGCCGTTCACAATGCACAATATTTTCCTGTGTACTTAGATTTTTTTATTCCTTCATTTTTTAAATTCAATTTAACATTCTGAAGAATTGTCTAGGCATCATCGAAAATTCTACCATTTTACATCTTGATGAAATATATTTCCTTGATGCCGTGGGATAACCACACCAAGCTTCTTAATGGATGGTCAACAGCTCGTTATCAGCTCGCCACCACGATTAGACAGCTGTATCTGTCAATTTAAGGGTAATTTTTCTCAACGTCTATAAGCGGCACTGGAATGTCAACTGCTGCTTGACACCTAGACGGCGCCTAAAACGGGTCTATAGAGCTATGTTCTCTGACTATGAAATTCTTTATCGGATTTTCAAATCATAGAGATCACAACATTAGCCATTTATTTGCTGCCTATTACAATTTTTTTATTGCAGGATGTTGTGTGAAATACTGCCGACGGCTTGTAAATAGAAAACTAGCTGAGAGGAATGAACGAAGAACTGACATGGTGTGGTGGTGAACGGTCCGCAGTTCTACAAATATCTCAGCATCATTGTGATTATATTTCACATGATATCCTATTGTAAAAAATTGTAGTAGGCAGCAAATGAAAAAGTTTAACATTGTGATTTCAACTATAGCCTCCGCTCAACTGGGTTCATTGCCGATTTCCACTCCACAGATCAATTCCGCTGATGGGTGATTGCTGATGGCTGGTAGATAGAAAACTAGCTCATAGAGATCCTGATTGTGAGAGTGGACAAGCCACATCCATTACTGATCGTTGAAAAAACCCAGAAACCTCCATTTGTCTTCTGATTGCCAGTTTTTTGTTCTCTGTTTAGAATATTTCAATAGTTTACGCACCTTTGGCCACGACTGGTCTTCAGTCCAGCAACACTGCATTGATTTTCGATTAACGTCCGGCGGAGATTGTGTCCTCCGAAATGTTCTATGTCTCATTCCAGTAAATTCACTATGTAAACAGTTGTAAATAAAACAAACATTACGAGGTTCGGATTTATTGCAATGTGAAGCTGATTAAACTGAGATGAGATGAGATAGATGAGATAAACTGTATTTGTTTGGAAGAAATTTCTAGATGTCACTGGTTTAATGTGAATTAATAAAATTTCTGTTAGCTGAGACTTGTTCGCTTTAAACTGAAAGTGGCCATTGAATTTTCTGTCTATTTCTATCCCGTTTTTTTGCTGGCTAAACTCGTTTGAAGTAAACAGGAGTTCTCTGGGTTATATTGAACCCTCTTTTTTCCCCGAAATCGATACTACGGTATTTTTTTTAGTTGTTGATAACACTTCCTACTGGTTTTTTGTTTGCTTAGATATTTCATATCCCACTCAATTTTTCACTTGAGTAAATATTTGATTTAATTGGCTTCCGTTTTAGATCATGTTTTTCGTGTTTTTGATTCTTTTGATGATATTGGTTGTTACATTCTTTGTAAATGGAGAGAGTACGTTCAATTTGTGGTTTTGGTCAAAATTCGGATCCGATGAAGGTATGTCAGCTTCATGTTCTTCTGCTTTAAAGATATTTTTTGACCATCATGTACCCAATCACTGGCGCTTAATGAGGCCAAGAAATTGAAATGTGGCAAAAGCTGCGCTAAAATCAATTCGCAGAGCTTCAGAGTCTCAGATACCACTTCGTCCTCAGATATGCTCTTATTTAAGAGACCCACCCCGTAGCATCTATTGGCTTTTCTTACATACTCTGTATTCTATGGTGTTCTTATCAACGAAAACTATTTGTTCTTGCAACGCTCCTTCTGTTTATATCTTATCGATGAGCAATAAAAAATGGCACTGACTTTCTTTTGGAAAAAAACATCTGGGTGGCCACAGCAGTAATGGTGACCGGTAAGAACTAGGCTTGAAATCTTCTGTATCCTAAACTTAAACACGCCGGTTCTTATATAGATGAGGTTATATAGTCCACGTCGAAACCTCAGCTAGGGTCATGAAAGTCTATTAGGAGTGCCATTTACTCTTTTTAAATTAGATTCTTTGCCAACGCCTACGAAAAATGTATTAAAACTTCGAAAGCAGTGTCATTCTATCAATGATTGTCAATCAATGACTAGACAATATGCATAGGAAGTCACTTGAACTGTTATGACAGCGGTACAGCGGAGGCACAGCTTTCCATCGATCCCTTAGCATCAACAAAGGAAAACGCTTCCCATAGTCTAGGCGATCTCATTGAAGATGTTCCATCGTCGTGTTGCTGTAGGCAATGAGATGATTTAATGATACGAGAACAGCATATTCTTGCATGACAAGTTGCTCTTAAATCTTCCTGATTGCGTCATTCGTCTTTTCGAGGAATACTAGTGAAGCAGAATCAATTTTCAATAAGCTTAACGAAGCCGAAGGGAGTAAAAGAGAGCGCATAAAAAGGAGGAAGACACGGAACATTTGAGCCGATAGTAGGAATGTCAAAGGTCAGTAAAATTGGGTCGTTCTCTGATTACATCGTCATAAAGTCACATAATGAGTATACCTCGGCGTTCAAATGGCATGAAAAGATAAAAGAATAAAGGATAAAGCTGTCGGTGTTTATTAATCCATTTCTTTCTCGTTTTTTTCTGCTCAGCTTTGGAGTAGGTCGTTCATCATATTGATTTTCCGACCTAGATAGATATAACTGGAGCATTCGGAGATATTCCTTCCGGTGAGCGTAAATGGGGCATGCGAAACCAATCCGTTCTTCATGAACATCGTTTTTTTGTCTTTTTTTTGTGAGAATTAGTCGAAGATCAATATTTCCTCAGGCTCCATCAAAATCGTCAAGCATACGCTCCGCTTGGTTAAGTAAAAGATAAAAAGTATAAAGCTCTTAGCGTTGACCTAAAGGATACGCCGTGCATTCGACTTCACTAAGCATCGTTGAAGGAGATTAAATGTACATCTGGCCTTTACAATGACTCGTAGTGGCCTAGCAATGTATCGAGCCGGTGCTGCTGTCCTCCCAGACAAGTCCGATACCAATTTGCCAACCTCGGAGGGATGGAAAGCTTGGCGAGCCACAGGCGCGGGGATCGATCCTATGTGTGTTGCAGGGCGCCTCCGACCACACACGCGCCCTTATGAGAAGATATGTAAGGGAAAATTATGGAAGGCGAGTCACGGAAATAGGTGGGGACGTATGGCCTTTAAGAGAAACTATAGATCGATTCACGAACCCAAAAATTTTTTCTTCACTTTTTTTATTTAACGGTCTTCCAACGCTCTGCTGAGACATTCCCTAAGCATCTAACCACACTGAAGATCTGGTAGCTTTCCCAAAGAGGTCTTTAAAGAGCTCTTCTAAAGTGTTGGAAAACGACCGCGCAACTCATCCATTCGATGGTTAACCCCTCATGCAGATCTGCGTAAATGAACACCCAGGAAGAAACGTAACATCAGTAAGCTGTTTTCAAAGCTGCTAATGCTTAAATTCTCATATTATGCAATTCCTAGCAATCCTTCCATTCGGTTTCCTTTCTCGCTTGCGGCATTTACGACGTTTTTGGGATTTCCTTGCGGGTTAGGTCTATACCTGAGGATTTCGTCCTCTTCATTGATATAGTTGAATGTTGGTTGAGTTGATGATTTCTAAAATCTTGGGATAGTCCTAGAAAAGTGTTCGCAAATTCGCACCAACCAGGCAGCCATCGGCCTTTGTTGTTGATTTGAAAGAGTTTTTCCAGAATAAGTTTGGTAGTAGATCTAAATGGGTCCAATTTGTCTACGTTTTAGAAAAGCAAGCTTGTTGTCTTTATTCCCTTTGAATGGATCTGCCGTATATATATATATATATATATATATAATATTTATATATATTATTGCAAATGCAAAGTGTCTTCTATAAACGAACTTTGGAAGTGACGAAATTTAGCAACTTTTTGTCAATTCTCCTTCATTAAGTTTTACCGTTGATTTATTAGAGGAGGATTGAAAGAAGAGTTTGTATAAATGGAAGTTCTTCCAGAGAGGTACTTTCTTGATAAAACGGTCTGGGTGATTGGATGTAGTTCGGGCATTGGCGCCGAAATTGTGCTTCGACTAGCACAACTTGACTGTAATGTGATCTTATCAGCTCGAAGAAAGGAGGAACTGGACGCGTTGAAGGAGAGGTGCGATGGTAAGCTGAAATGAACTGCTTACTTTCTGAGCTTCTCTTTAGGAGATTACGTATCAAATTCTATAAAGTTTCTATAAAGTTGAATTCTCTAAGGTACACTGGGGCTCAACAGAATATCTTTTATTTGGTTCACATTAGGATTTAACTTTAATCGTCAGAAACACAAAAGGAACTGTGCTTTTCCTCTACTTTTTAAATTCCCCAAAGCTGGTATGATCCCTGGTTCGATTCCATACTCAAGGCATGCCAACACCGCCATCACACCGGGCTGGGCTAATTAACACCAGAGGTGGTTAGAAAGATAAATAAACTGACTAGATGCATCAGTAAGTCCTCGCAGGTCATAGAATACGCATTCGACTAACTTTATGGCGATGTGAATGGATATGAATTCATGGCAAGTTCCTGGAGAATTGATCTATAGCAACTACTGTAACTCCAGTCTCACTTTTCCGCTCACAGCGATAGAATTCACGAAATTTCTGGTAATACATGCCTTGCATAATACTGTAGAATAATCGTGGAATTGATAAAATCAATGAAATTATAAATATAGTCATGCAAAGCAATGGGGCTACAGCATATGATGCGTCATATTGCTGACACTAGACCGACTTTTCATACTTGCCAGCCTAATGCATTAAAAAAAGGATAAAGCTGTCAGCGTTGTTGAATCCCTGACGGACGCGCTATGCATTTGACTTCACTAACCATCGTTATAGATGACTGAATGATGTTGCCTTTATGATGACTCGCAGTGGCCAACCGATGTGTCGAACCAGTGGTGCTACACTCCTAGACAAGTTTGGTACCAATTTGCTGAACCCGGAGGGATGGAAGGCTTGGTAGGTCATGGGCGCGGAGACCTATTCCACGTCCACGTGTGTGTTGAAGAGCGCCTGCGAGCACTGCGCCACACGGGCCTTGCCTAATGCATTTATATTTTATTATATTTATATATTTATTTTATCCTATTTTATTTATATATTTACCCTAATGTTTTTATCCTAAAAATTTTTCATTATCAAACGAATGTGTTCTCATTTAAGCAAAATCGTCTACACGATCATCAGTCGTATTTCCATTGGACGTGACAAACTTCCAGGAGCTGAAGAAGTGTTGCAGAAAAGTAAGCACTTTCTTCGGAAAGGTAATTTTTTTACTGCGAATGTTTGTTCATTCAATACCGAACATCAAAAATTCTATGACAATATATGCTTTCTGGCTTTAGGTAGATGTAATCATACTCTGTTGCGGTCAATCTCAGAGAGCCGAATGGACTACAGTCGATCCGAAAGTGGACGACGCTTGCTTCCAAGTGAACGCTTTGGGACCAACTGTTCTTGCAAGAGAATATCTCAAAACCCTCAAAACCGATGAGAATGGTTGGAATGATAGTTTTATCGAACTTGCATTTATCTATGACCTTGGTTTCACCGATTCAGTCGAGTAGACATTAGCAAACTTTTAATTCATGTCTGTGATGCAGTAGCATGGCTCGGTAAGCTTCATTTGGTCCGGAGATATGAACGGCATAATACTTTCCATGTGAAGACGTTTGTTTTATTCCAATCCCTTATCCGCCACTTTACGACATGCCACAATAGCACTGACTCGAGATCCTTAAAACATTCCCCTCAAGATTAACAGTAGATCCCAAGATCGACTTTCTCTTAACCTCGGCATTGGAATATGAATGTGTCGTTTTCTTGTTCAGCAATCGCGAGGTTTTTA